AATGCTGTGGAAGCTCCCCCTACCAGCTCAGCAAAGTTGACTCCTAGGCAGCAAACTTCGCTCCCAGCTTGCCCATCATAGGCATGATTCAAACGAAGGGGTGCGTGGTGCTGTAGGAAGAACAAACTCTAATGGGAGTCTAACCGTTGGTCTCCAACCTGCACGAACTTACAATAGCGGTGAGAACCTCCCAAGTTTGCTTGCCTTCGCAGGACTCTCTGGCAGTGGCGGAGGAAGCGGCAAGGATCTTTGGGATGCCTTGGTGGCAGGCTGCCAAGGTGCCTCAAGTCATTTCTATTTTACTAGAGGCTTCTGGTGATGCCTGTTCTTTCTATATGCTCCTTGGAGAAATCCTGAACGTGAACATGGACATTGATATCTGCGATAGCACCATCTGTGAGACGTGCATCTTAGTAGAGTGTTTTCCCCATGCCCAAAGCACAGGAATTCTACCATTCTCTGGAAATTTCTCTTTTCACTTCGACTTCTTTGTTGGATGAAGAACAACTCCTTGGTTTCTGTTGTGCGCTCGTGCGATCTTGTGCTTCTACACGGGGCCCATGAGACATATCATTCTTAGCGGCCTGAAAAAGTTATGGTGATACTCCAGAATCAACGGCAGATTTCGGATGCCGCTCTCACCTGGAGTTCCAATTGGGTGCCTATTGGAGGGAAGGGGTGCCTCACGTGCACGGCTGGACGGGACCCCAAACCATTTGGAACTGCTTTCAGAAGCAGTTTTGTGGATTGCTTTGCTTCAGCCGATTCTTTCTCTTCGTTGATCTCATCTGGGTCAGGTGCCCAGGCGGAAGCCGCGGAAGCCACCGCCCAGGCCGCCCAGGCCTGGTCTGGCATTCTGGACGGGTCAAGAATTTCTTCCAAGATCCGCAGAACGTACCGTACCTCGTTTCCGCTCGTTTTTGATCTTGTTGGATCGTCATCTACCTTTTAAGGTTTTGACTTGCAACCTCATTCTAAGGCGGAGTCGTTTTCCGTATTCCAATGGCAACATCGCATTCAAAGGCACCACATGCCACCTTTTCATGGATTTGCCACGTCGCAGGCCGGGGATGAGGCCGGGACTTCGCAGGCACCGTCTCCCCAAGGGAAACCGGATGAAAAGACGCACAACGGGTCACGCTTCATGGTGCTTTTGTAAAACACACACACACACACATACACACTGGTCACACCATGTTTTTATGAAAGCACAATCAAGCACAACGGGTCAGGCTACTGATGTTTCTTGCAGTAGCGACTTTCCCACCGATGTTGGACGTTGCAGCATGACTTGGTGGACAAACCTTTTGGAGAACAAGCGACGGAGACACCGTCCTCCGTTTTTTGTTCTTTCTTTGAAAGACTCTGCAGAGTCTATATGTCCATCAGGGTCTACGACCCTCAAAACTACACGCAAGTCTTTTTGGCTGACTTCTTTCGGTCTCTCAACTCTTGGCGCTTCGCTCGCTTCGCTCTTTTGGTCAGGGGCTGCCATTGGATGGTCTCTGGCTTGAGGTGAGCTGGCTCCCCGGCACGGGAGGTAATCAGACACAGGTTTGCTGTGTGTAGGGCACGAGACAGACAGCAGAAAGCGGGGACCTCAACAGAGAACGACCAATCCTCCTTCATATGGAATTTGCCATAGTCTGCCGGATTCCTGCCCAGGCATGTTTTTCACCAAGGTCTTGCCGGATTCGTTTTAGCGCAGACCCTGCAATCCGACCATTGCCATCCGGGGGGGTTGCTAGAATATGATGTATATAGAATGACTTTCGTCCGACCACCCCATGGTGCTCATTCACATGGTGAAGAACAGGTAAACTGGTAAGGACCATCCTGATAAACCTGTTGTGCCACTTGAATCACTTGAAGAACCGTGGCAACCTGTGTATGTGTCATGTCATGTCCCCATTAGATCCCATTAGCACAGCACTGGACACCAGCTGTGGCATGTCTTGCTTGTGGAGTCTGGAGAGACCTCCGTTTCAACTGACCCAAGCATAGATGGAACACGAGATGTCTCACCCATGGCCGAGGATTCTTGATTGTTGAAAGATATCCGCCAAAAGGAGTTTTGACTTGACAACAGTAACAGGTGACAGGATCATACAGGTATGTTAGGTGATCTTTGACTCACGCAGCTGTCACACCTATCTATCAACGAAGGATCCGTTTTGCTTTTGGGTTTTGCTGTTGGAAGGCCATGTACAATGTCGGGGCCATCGCTCTAGAGTTGCGTCGAGAGGACAGTTTCTCGGTTCAGTTACGGGGGTCCGCCGGTGGTCAGTGAAGGAACCATTAACTAATTATTGGACAGGAATTCTCTCTAGAGGACATGATTTCCTTAAGCTCTTCGGAAGAAGCCGAAGGTCTAACACCACTGCCACCGTCGTCTCAAGTGCCGACGGAGGGACCTTTTGTTACGCGCAGGCAAGTCTGAAGTCCGATTTTTGTTGAGCTTGCTAACGTCCAAAGCTACATCACTTGCATCACTCAGATCTACATTGCTGCGAACATCTCATGAAGCAGCCTGTTCTGCGTTTGGTACAATTATAGTCAATGACCAAAGTGCCGTGTTATGACTAAAGCTCGAGTCCTGCTTGTTACTCAGTTGAATGCCCTGACCCCGCTGCCATGGCATTTTGCAGGAGATCCAGCTCTATGCGGATGCCTGGTGTACCCGTCAGAGCCTCAGGACATGGATGGCTACGATGGAGAATCCGACGGGGGTTGTGGTTTTCATGCCAGGTGCAATCGAGTTGGACTGGCAGCTGCAATTGGAGGAGGTGCATTCTCAGCGCAGGAGTCTGAAACACAGGAGTCTGGTGGGAAGAATCGACGCCACGGGCAGCGGAGATGTCTTGAAACAGAAAGGGTGCACCACTGTACTCGAGGAATGGTCAACATATCCAATGTTTGGGGAGATCAGGGTGGGCACGGAACACGGTCGCAAGAACCCCCTCCATGGTCGCTCATGTCCTTTTGCCTCATGCTCTGCGGGCGCGGAACATGCGCTCATGCAGAGCTATTCTCTACGAGCTGTGTGATGGAAGGACCCCAACCAAGACACCGTTTGATGAGGTCTACTATCGTTTTGAGCTACAGTCAAGGTATGTTGGTCAGCTTGCTTGTAACAGTGGACTCCAGGTGTACAAAGGTGAATGTCGACCTCTCAACTTCCAATCCCATCGACGAGCCACTTTTGGACTCGACAGGGTTTGTTGGCGTCCGTATGTATATATGGGAGTTGATCGAAAACCCCGTGTAAGGAGTTTTATATAAAACAGCCTTTCAGATGTTGTTAGAACCATCCGCGAAAGATTCGCGATGAGGTTCGCGAAAGTATCTTTTTTTTCCGCGAAAGATTTATCGAAGGTCATCGCTTTCATTGTTTTCCTTTCTACCGGACTGACAAAGAATAGAAACGCAAGGCAATCCTCCGGCAGAGCCAGTGGGCGAAGTGTCCCCATGTCACAGACTAACGAACTGAAGCCTCAACCTTTCCGTGCCCAGCCCTGGCAGTGCGTAAAGGATTCTCCGATTCCTGTCCCCACTGTCACATACTAGCAAGCTGGGTAGGCGCAGCCCTGACAGTGAGGCAACGACCTGCCGCTGCTCTGACGGGCTGTGCAGATGTTTGCAAATGTTACGGCGTCCCGGGGAAAGCACCAGTGAAATTTCGCGAAAGATCCGCGAAAGTTTCGCGAATGTGCCGCTAAAGTCTAGGTTCCCAGCTTGAGGCCCCCAACATTCCCCAAGCTGCATCACCCTGTGTTGGTAGCTGACACAAGGATTGGGTTGAGTTGTGCCTGACTCTATTTGGCACAATTGTCGCACAGATGCTGCAAGTGACCCTGAGTAGCTGTGCAAACGTTCAACCATCTACTGGGGTCATGCTGCAAGACGTCTCTCCCTATTATGACGTGTTCCGGCTCATGTTAGCTAGACATGGTTGTAGGACCATGCTTCGCGATGAGGCCGCGAAAGATCCGCGAAAGATATCTTTTTTTCCGCGATGAATGGCCATTCCAGGATGAAAGAATATTGATCAGCCACCATATACGTAGTTACACAGTAGTTGGCTGCCCTGACCCAGCAGCGGAGAAGAATCTGTTGTTTTTTTTGTAAATCTTATCTAAGATGTCCAAACGCAGAGGCCGTCTGTTCATTCTTTCGTTTGCATTTCAGCTTGTGAACCGACTCCGGATGGACCCCTCCCGGAACTGGTTTGGTTCACATAGTTACAGTATAGTGGCCCCCAAATAGATAGTGGCACGGTTTCCAATGCATTGTGAGTGGGGATCTACTTTTCTACCAAACCTTGGGGGGTCAAAAAAAGGACTCCTCCCAGAACTGCTGTGTCGCCATGCAGCCGCTCAGATTGATGAGACTTTGGGCTGGGTCTTTCAGCAAGTGGAGCACCTCAAGGCCCTTCCTGCGCACCGTGCTCCTGCCATGCGAACTGTGGTTGACACTTGTATACACTTGTGGAGAGTGTTCTAAGACTATGTTGCTTTCAGATGCAGATGCACTTCTTTTTTGAACTATGTATCTTTCTTTTTCTGAACTGACTGGGTTTCAGAGGATGGCGCACTGTGCTCCCTTCTTGCGGGATGAGCCACGCCACAAATTGAAGTGAAGAACCCGCGCCACCGAATCTGAAGCTATTTTGGCCTCAACTACTTGGGCAGATGACTTTCATTGACTTGCATTTGCTGATGACTGACATTCATCTAGGTGAGTAGCGAGCTCAACCCATGAGGCTAGTCGAGACAGATGTTGTGAACCTAAGTGGACTCTGGGACCCAAAGAGACCCTGAAATTGACCACATTACGAACCGGGAACACTAAAAAGCACTCTGAAAAGCACTGGAGTCGAACAAACTTGGCCACCTGGTTAAGTAGCAGCAGATACTGGGCGTTTGTAGACATTGTAGACGCCTTGTCGGCGTACAGATGGGCGTCCGTGGCAGTTGGGGGTGATCGGACTGTGATTGACCATGCCGCCCGCGACTGACGACGATGATTTGACCACATGGAATGCTTTCAGAGGTGCTGTTGACCGAGGCGACTTGGAAGAAGTCAACGAGATGCTCGAAAATGGATGCAATCCCTACCAGAAGGTCAGTGGCGACGGCGCAAATTGGACCGTGCTAATGCTGGCAGCTAATGCTGGGCATGAGGAGCTGGTGCAAAAGTTCAGCAAAGGTGGAAAAGGAGTGAGTGAGAAGGATTCCCACGGATTTCAGGCAATGATGCTTGCCGCTTTGAAGGGCCATACCGGAGTTTGTCGCACTTTGTTGGAAAGGAAAGCCGATTGCAATGCTTCCAATGAATACGGTGAGACACCCTTGATGATGGCGGCCGCAATGGGCCACAACGATGTCGTCTCGATGCTCTTGGCTGCCAACGCCGACGCCAATGCCTGCGACGGAAATGCCATGAGTGCGGTGAAGAAAGCCTCCCGCTGGGGCCACGTGGATTGCCTCCGGACACTCCTGCCCAAGGTGAACCAAGACCCGCGGGAGATGAAACATTGCCTTCTCTTCGGGAAGCTCTATGACCACCCAGAGGTCATGGCCGAGATTCAAAAGGTCTTGGAGCCTGAAGAAGAGGCTGATTTGCCTCAGGCTTGAGTGTCACTACCTCACTGTGTTTCACTCACTGCTTAATTCGGAAGACGAAGCCAGCTCAAAAAGCTCCTGAGGAGCTTCTGCAGGAAGAGTCAGACGCCATGAGGGCAGAAGCACAACATCCTTGGACGTAGTTTAGTGTTCTCCTTTTAGTTGAGGTTGATTTGTTCGGGTCCAAACCCCTTACCCCACCTGCACCCCTCACAAAAACGAAGGTACACACCCAGCGAACCCCTAAACCCTCACAAAGAGAATGATCAACCAGTGGGTTCTCTTTACCTTGCTCACCATCGCACATGGGATGACTAAAGGACACCCCTTTTTGTTGTCCCGGAAGGGGACTCAGCTCAGGGTTCAGCTCAGGACACTTGTCGTCCCGGCGCCCGCCAAATGGCAGGCGAAAGCCCAGCAAGTGCTGATCCTGCGGCGTTTGGAGGGTCCCGCACTCAGCTGGTGCGATCTTGGGAGGGTTGACCATGCCACGCCACGGGGCTGGCTGCCATGCTCGTTGCTTTCGGCTCAGGAAAAGGTGCCGTGGAAAGCACAAGAGAGAGAGAGAGGCTTGTAGGACTTGAACGATTTTCTATTTGAGACTTGAGGCAACTTGAAAATAAAACAAACATCAGCAGCCATCCCTTGGGAAGGGGTCGCTAACTATTTTGGCATGACCAGACTAAGTAATTCATCCGCCATGATTTTACAGCTGGTGCTGGCTGTGGCCGTGACGCAACCAACCCTGGTGCTTGTGTGGGGAACTGCCCTGGAGCACTAGCGAGGTGCCACTGCCCACTCTCAGTAACAACACAGAACAACCAGGAGTTCCATGTCGTGTGCTTTTCCGACCCATCCAGCGGCCGTGGATGTGACAAGGGCACCCCATATCCTCCATAAAGCATCCAACTCCTTGGAACTGCTTGGAAGGTCTGTCTACCTAAACACAATTACATTTCAGGCACTCAGGCCCTCAGCCAGGATCTTGCCCAGTCGGACAAAGGATCTCGGATGGGGGGGGTCGTTTCCACCGGTCTTTCTTAGCTCCGACCTCCCGACCTTCCGACCTTCCGACCGGAGGTGCTTGGCAGACGCGGTGTGCCGCCGCTGGATCGTTTGCACCCCACGATGTGCCCAGGATGACCTGCCATGCCAGCCACCCGACTGTCAGGGTCCTTTCCGAGCGACCGTCACGGTCGCGCGCAATCGAGGGAGCGGGGGAGGGGAGTTCGCCATTTGTTCTACTTTGCTTACCTATCATAAGACTCCTGTGAGATTGTTGTTCCACAAATGAACATGAAATTTGAAGGATATGGCATATCGGATATGGTCGTTGCTCCCAGAAGCAGGCACCGGAAGAGGTGGAAATGGTTCAGGGTTCCCGAGGACCCCCTCCAAAATAGGGCCAGGTGGCATAAACGTCTCTGATCAGATTGTATGAGGTGACCTGCAAGGTGTTTGGTGGTTGCTCCGCAAAGGAAGGGGTCTCCCATTGAGGATCCGCTGTGGGGACCTTTACAAGCCCACCGACGCCTCGGCGGAGCGGATCGACGACTTCAGCGAGTGCAGCATCTCCGAGCATCATTGCGTAGCGCAGCGGAAGCTTCACTGTCAAAGACCGGAGCGACTGCCAGCGGGACCACTGGAGCTTCAGAGCTTGACGGGCACTTGGTACATCACCAAAGGCTGGAGGGAATCCCACCTGGCTGGGGGGGGGAGCTTTCGATGCTCCGAGCTCTTTTGGGGTTTTGGACGACTACTTGTCCTGCAGGACTCTGGATTTCCCCGGAATTTGGCCCGGGTTTTCGAGCCACGAAGCTCGGGAAGAGCCACGGGTCAGAGTGGATTGAATCGACCCCGTGAGGTTGGAACAAGCTCTTCGATTGCTTCGACTGCCAGGTGCATCACTTTAGCCTTCAAGGAGGGCCAAAGCCCCTGCAGGGGGATCTCAAGTAGCCTCTTCTGCAGATGGTCCATTTTGGCTCCTTCTCGTGGTGTTTTGGGTCCTGGGTCTTTGATGTGTCCGTGCACCGAGTTTCTACTGCAGGTACTCTGTGAAGAAGGACTTGAACTGCACGGGAACGGTGTCACACTGCGAGTACCTCCCCCGGGAGGTTCATCAAAGCTTTGCACAAGACCCTGCAAATCCGATGCATCTCATCAATCACAACAACTCAGCCAAGGCGCCATGTCTAAGTGGATGGGGTGGATGGGGTGTGACTGACCGGTGAAGCGACATGCGGCCAGGCCGCCAGGCTACTAGCTGCTAGCTCAAGCCTTTGTCAATGAGTCTTCCAAGTTTTGCACCTTTGTCAATGCACCAAAAACCAAGTGGCCGGGGGTTGGCGGTCTCTCAGGGACGTGACACTGCCAACAAAAATGTGCAGGCCGGTCTCTCAGGCATTTTTCCTTTTTCTTTTTTTGGGAGCCAGGCACCTCGGTTGACTCAAGGACTTTGGTAGGTCAAAGACGGCCCACCCGTCTCAAAGATTTCGGCAGCAGAAAGCCCTAAACCAAGTAGGAACGTTGATTCTAAAACTCTTAAACTCAGAGGACTCAATGGGGGGCTTCCTCAGGGTTTTCGTGCCAACACGAGCTGCGACTTCGACAGGAGATGCACTACATGGACGATTGGTATGTGCTCGCTGCCCGGCCAGACGTCTACTCATTGATCTACTATTGCGGCTGCAATGACGCGGTTTGTGGCTATGCAGGCTCTGTACTTTACACACGCAGCCCACACTTTGAGGACCTTGCCCCGCAGGACGGCTGTGAAAGTTGGTGAGAGAGCCATCCCCCAAGTTGGCGCATCTGTCAAGGCGCCGAACGCAGAACGAATGATGCTGAAACGTATAGGACCTTGCGCAATGTTTAATCCTACGGAGCGGTCATGTCAAGGCCTATCCTTGGCGGTGCAATTCAGCGTCGACTCAAATCTGAGGGTGTTAGTACTTGCTACAGGAGAGAAGTGCCCCCCACTTGTTTTTTCCACGGGATCAACCAATTCAATAGGAAGCGCATAGTATAGAAGTTTACTTTTGGACCTAGGACCTAGGAGCAATCCATTTCTATGAGCATCGGAGCAAGTTGCAGTTGCAGCTTTGATTTCACCGAACTCGGCAGGATGTGGCCGAGATCAAAGGAGCGATCCTTGCGTCCGGTGTCTCCGACTTCACTTTTGATGGCCTATGTACTTCCAAAGCTGCAGCCTGTGAGGTGTCATTGCAGGTGTAGGGCTTCCGGGTTCGCATTGGCAAAGATGGAGGATTTCATCCACCAACGACCTGTACAGTGTGGGGAGGAACGTCCAGGTCCTCAGGTGAGGGCACCAGCTTGTCCTTGGACATGAGTCTTTGTCAGCAGGCAGCTGAGTGATTAGAACCCACATCAAAACTCTTCCACAGATGGCTGCGGGTGTCAAGGCGCAGCAGAGGTTGGAGTTCCGCTTGCAACTCAGTTGAGCAAAGAAGCAAGCTGGACTGCAGGAATCTGCAGACATTTGCAGAGGAGAAAAAGGGATTTCAACCTCTGTTGCTCAGAAAGAGCACCGTCTCTGATCCAGGCCCTTCGAAGGAACTGGGTTTTGTGGTCTTTTGATCTTGAACCGTCGCGACGTGTAGCCGAACGTCCCAGGCAGTGTGGAGTCTGCCATGACAGTGGGGAGCTCAAGCGGCTGGTGCGACGGTTAGCGGGGTGGTGGGGTCCAAGACTAGGAGAATTTGGGCAAGAGGGAAAGACTCGACTCACGTGACTCACGTGGGAAGACTTTGTTGTCAGTGGAGAAAAGGAGAAAGCTTGAAAATGGTCTCGACTCACAGGATGGATCATCACTTGCGGGACTGGACTACTTGTCACTGCAACAGCTCATCTGAGCGATCTGAGCCGTTTTCCGACCAATGACCATCATGCGGGTGGATCCTCCTGCGGGATTCGCCGTTGAACTTCTCCTGGTCAGACCCTGCAGAGTTCAAGACCCTTCGAAAAAGGGCTCTTTTAGAGGTCACCAGACCCGACCTTTCGGACTCTCCGGTTTGGTTCCGCACCACTCGCACGAACCTCCGGAGTGGACTGGGCGTGGCAGACGCCTCGTCGGCACGGTTCGACCGACTCGTTTGGGGTCGTCCGGGTCTGACCAATATGAGGTGGAGGACTAACGATGGAATGGCACAAAGGTGGAGTGAAACCTCTGCCATTTGGGTTACAATTCGGACATCGTGGACGTAAAAAAAACCAAGAGCTTCTTCTTAAGGACTTTTTTCACCCACCTTTCCTTTGAGTCAACGGCATTTGTTGCCTGCTGCCAGTGTTTGGTGCTTCCAGCTAAGCATGTGCTTTTAGGAGCTGTCATCAAGATGCCTCCCCATATCGGCATGCCCGTGTGAGCCTGTTTCCAGGTTCGGCCATCCTTCCCACCACCGTCAGTGCTGAGTCTTCGATGGGTGCTGCCGGGGCATGTTTGGGTGTGGATAGGAATGGGCGTGGAATGCCCGAAAGCTCGATCTTTTTTGGTTGCTCTGACTCATGGAACGGCACCAGAAACAGACCAAATTGATGGCCATGCTGCTGGCGCCGGCGTGCGGCTGCTGGTCATGTTCAGAGCCTTTCATAGGACCTCGGAGGTGTCCCCACAGCATGTCTGCGGAACTGCAGACCCTTGCGACAGCACATGACACTTCCCAGCAAAAAGCACATCAACAATCATCACACAAAGGACCACATCACAGATCACTACATCACACGCCACAAACCATGATGTATCAAGACGTCACACCCCACCACACGTGAGGAGTGCTGTGGTTGAGATCATGCAACTCATCCGCGGTTGGAACTGAAGTGATTTTGTTGGATGGGAGAAAGACACACACACACACACACTCTCTATCTGAAAAAGTGCAAAGCTTTGCTGGTGGTGTCATATTCTCCATCACGGATGGCTTTTCAATCGCATCTAAGATGATCTTTGGAACATCCTCACTTGGAACATCCAAACTACAACACCTACTATGTGGGACAATCTTGTAGTGGGCAATCCCTCATCTCACTGTTTTCTTCGAAGAGGCGGTCGTGCGGTCTGATGCGGTCGTTTCTGTCGCCTCGCACCAGGCTATGCTGAAGAAACCTGCGAGAGACGGGGCCAGGATCTTGGAGGCTTTGCCCGCACGTGGCGATGCAACGAGCTTGGGGAAAAAACACATGAACACATCACTCGACTCGCAGATTGCGGTACCAGTCTGCTGCTTTGCGGTACCGGGTGTCTCTTCGGCGGTCTACTCAGCCGCCCAGTTGACCTGTTCTTGCCGGTAAACTGTGATGATGGAGCCCTACCCACGGTGGGTGGAGCGAGTTAGTTCGCACCAAGGGGAGCGTTCCAAAATAGTTTCCCCAAAGGACAGGTATTACATTATTACAGTTTCTCTATTTTTGCATGATCACCCAGTGAAATGAGCTCCTTGAGCTGTAGGGATCTCTCTTTCATGGAGAAGAAAGGTTGCGAAGGACAGAACTTCCAAACCCCATCCCTCTGGGCGCCTCTGGGGCGTGCGGGCGTTTGGCCGGAACCAAGGTACGAGATCTGCAGATGCTGCGGAAGCGCCCCACCGGGCCAAGCAAGGCGCTGGATCGGATGGAGCCAGGAAGGAATGGAGATAGATGGCTGGCAGGGTGGCTGGCGAGGCGGCTGTGTGGAAGAATAGAACTTCTATACTATACCTGACAGCTGCCATTTTGTTTAGGGTCTTAGTCTTTCTGGAGGTCGTCCTGTCCTCCAGCCGCCGAGTGGATCGACCCGAAGTCGAAGACTTCGAACAGGTGAAGCAGACGGTCCCCCCAGGCACGAGCGCAGCGCAGTGCAGCGGACGAAGATGGGGTGGTCCGCGGTGTGGCCGAGTTGGGGTCACCTTTTGGGTTCATGTCTGGAGTTGGACCTGGAAACGAACCCTGTGGATTTGTGACACCTGTCACTCATGTCTGAAGCTTGCTTGTTGGACATATTCTTAGAAGATCAAGTCTGTCTACTTGACATGTTTTGATCGAACATACCAATCCTATTGTCTTCATGTGTGCATCCCGCTATTCTTCATCCACAGCCAAAGGCTCAAAGGCTGCAGACCACGACCAGAACTCAAGCACAGACAAAGAATGGTAGATGTCGCCAAGCCAGCGCTCTGGACAATAAATATTTCACATATGCAAAAGTGATGTGTCCCGTACAATCACATCAACAGTTAAAGGGTCTTCTTCATGTGGGCAGCTGGCAGAAATGGAGGGTTATGTTGGTGGCACTTTGTTAGGGCTTAGGCCCACCGCTACCGCTACTGCGGCTGTTGTTCTTGCCTCGTTTTGGGCCTCGCTGCGTGTGATGAATTTCAAGCTGCTTGTGCCGGTGCTTCTCGCTGGCATTGTTCCGCTGGCAGTGAAACGCGCCGATATTCCGGCACACCTGCTGGGACACGTGGCCTTTCACCGAGGCCAGGATCGGTCGTTCTCTCGGAGGGTGAGAAGGGACTGGACTGAGAAGGGACTGGCATGGGCGTTGCTTCGAGTCTGTTGAAGTTCGGGAGCGAATCCTGTGGCTGAAGAGGCTCAGACTTCCATTTGTTGAGCCATCCTTTTGTGGCGGGATGGTGTATTTTCCTTTTTTCACGAAAGCTAGCATGCTAGCTGAGTTCTTCTTTGCTTTAGCAATTGGTAGTGGGATGAGCTGTGTGCTTTAAAGCTTGATATATCACACTAAGGGGGGGGGCCAGGCCCCCGCCCTTAGCGTGATATATCACGCTAACCACCCCCCCCCCACGGTTCGACTCCCAGCTGCGCCGTGTAGCGGGGGTTGGTTGAACGTGTGAACGTGGTTGGTTGGGTGTAAACGGTGGCTTGGTGTAAACGGTGCTGCTGCTGCCGCTCTGCTGCTTGCTGCTGCTGTTTGCTGCTGCCGCTGGTTGTCGCTTTTGTAGCTGCTGCTTTGCTACTTGTTGCGGCTTGGTGCTGCTGCTGCTGTTGCTGACGACGCCGCTGCTGCTGCTGCTTGCTGCTTGCTGCTTGCTGCTTGCTGCTGCTGCTGCTTGCTGCTTGCTGCTTGCTGCCGGTGGTGCTGCTGCTGCTGCTGCTACTGCTACTGCGGCTTGGTGCTGCGCTGCTGCTGCGTGGTGCTGCTGGCTGGCTGCTGGTTGGCGGTTGCTGCTGGCTGCTGGCTGCAGGCGGCTGCTTCTGCTGCTGCTGCTGGCTGCTGCTTGCTGCATAGGACTTGTACTTCACCGTTACAAGTTGTTTACTCTATTTCTAACCTAATGCATGCATAAGCGGGTGGTAAATTTACTCCCAAGGCTTGCTATAACCATACACAGGCTATTTCCTCAAGACACTCTATTCCTGATACCTTTTACATCCTTTTTACCAGTGCTTATCCTACACTACGGACGCCCTAGTGTATGCACAGTCCTTGTGATGCTTACCCCTCGTTCCGGCTCAAGGCATACATAAGCGGGGGGCAAACTTACCCCCCAGATTTGCCATAACCATAAGGCGGCTATTTCCTCAAGACACTCTGCTCCTTATACCTCTTACCAGTGCTTATCCTACACTACGGACGCCCTAGTGTATGCACAGTCCTTGTGATGCCAGAAATGCTTACTCCTCTTTCCGGCACAAGCCATACATAAGCGGGTGGTAAATTTACCCCCCAGATTTGCAATAACCATAAGCCGGCTATTTCCTCAAGACACTCTATTCCATATACCTTTTACCCGTGCTTCTCCTACACTACGGACGCCCTAGTGTATGTACAGTCCGTATGATGTCAGAAATGCTTACCCCTCAAGGCATACAAAAGCGGAGGGTAAATTTACCCCCCAGATTTGCCGATCACGCATCTTCGTGCCTGCCAACGAGTGCACCCGGGTTGTTCCAATGTACCCTTCCCAGTCAGCGATGTCACATTTACATTCTTTAGCGCAAAGTATGTACATAGCAACCTTCCTCCCAGAACATGTACTCACTACATGCTTTGCCGACGATGTAACTAGTACATCCGGTGCGATTCGGCTAGCTTTCGACCTCCTCCCCCTGGCCTCAAGTCGACTTCGTGCGCCTCTCAGAAGCATTGATCGACGCGGAGAGTGGGCGGCAGCTCAATGCGATCATGCGGCAGATGGGTTCGGACGAGCCACTCGGCCCGAAGCGACGGGACCGGCGGGACGGGTTCGGGGCACGAGAAGCATCCACTCGGGTGGCCACACTTGCGAGAGAGAGAGGGCAGAGAGGGCAGATCGCGAGGTTGTCAGGCGGAAGGGAAGGGTGATGGAAGTTGAAGAGATAGTGACCCTGAAAAAGATGAAAGCGTTGATGCTTTTTTTCTAGGCTTTGTCAGGGTGTTTCATCTCCACTGGAATTCTCCAGGATCGGCTACCCCACAAACGTGGCGGCTGACCTGAAGACGGGCGTGAAGAAGGTGCAGCACCGACATGTGGGGGAAGCCAAGCCTATGGAGGCGGGACGGAAGGAGAGAAGGACGCACCTAAGCAATCTAGGTGTCATTGGCGGCCTCCAGGGGGTTGTCAAGTCGACATCGGGAAACCAGAAGCCTTTTTCTGAAATAAAACCATGGTTCCTCCAAACCCTACAGGGCAGTTTGACCTCATTTTACGGGATTTGGTCATAAAAACACACTACTCAATAAGGTAAAGGACCAGGCTTTACTGGGTGAAACTGGACCTGTAGGGTCTCTTTGAGGAGGAACGGCAAAGACACCGCTTTATCTCAGGTTTCCCCAACTCCTCCAATGATACAATTTCTCGGACAAGAAGAAGCAAGAACACCAAATGGGGCCTGGGGGTGTCCCGAGGTTGAGCCAAAGCCAATGTTGCCTCATACTTTGAAAAGATCCTGTGACACGTGCATTGACGCTGTGGTGGCAAGCCGTATGGACCAGTGAAGGATGATTAAGAAGGTTCGGTACAGGCAACGCGACCATTGACCAGCGTTTAGATGGTACTGGGAATGGAGAAGGTCTAAATGCACAGGACAAATTCATTAAGCAGATCCAAACAGCCCATATTTGTGCTTGCAACTGCGGAGGCTGATGGGAGTTGCTCCCACCATCTTCTAGTGAGAGATGGAAACAGTCCCTGGTCTGCAGCAGGAGTCGTCAGCAGTGGCTTCGACTGTTCCACAAACACCCCCAGAACGAGGCATCTATTTGAGGGTTTTGTGGAGGAAAGTCGGTCACTCTCTTCACTGTTTCAGTTACTAGGGCTTGAAAGCCCAGATCCAGACTTCAGGAAGCCATCTTGGACTGCTGGCAGCAGACTGGATTTCAGAATCGGACTCATCTCAAAACATGTGTGTTTTCACCTGCATAAAGGCTCCACCCGTGACTGGTTCAGATCTCGTTTGAGGCAGTGACTGTATCCTACCACAACGCATCGATGTTGGGAAGCACTTCATCATGACAGGCGGTCCTGAAGCCGGGAGCCTCAGGGCAACCAGCTGGTGGTGGTCGAACGTTCAGCGAGCTTCAAGAAGCTACCGGGTCGTTGGCGTGTGTTGTGAGGGTTCGGTTTTTGCTATGTTTTTCTTATCCTTTGAGGGGATTCTTGCGATTCAGCATATCGTTAAGAACCTGGGGGTGCTGAACATAGACGTTCTGACTTTGAACCTTGGGGCCTCTTCTCGTCGAAGTCTTCACATCAGAAGCCTAGCAGCCCGGGACCGACCACCCGCCGGCCTCGGTTGGAAAGGACCAACCACCGCTCTTCCAAGGCCATTCGAGAGCCCTATGAAGACATGATCTCTAGGGTGTCCTCCTTTGGCAGATATTTGTGTCTTGGACTTGACTTGATGCCGAAGTTCGCTTGACAGATCTGCAGTTTTTCAAGCCGTGAAGTAGATATGTGTCTAGACTCCGGACTGCCAGCAGACCGTCAGTTCTTCACCTGAGGTTGAAGTATGTAGATGCTGAAAGGCTAGATAGACCCGAACATTCGCAAACCAAACCAGGTCCATTTTGTGTCAGTTTTGGCAGGAGTAACAATCAGGAGATGATCACAATCATGTTTTTTTCCACTAAGTTGGTTCTTGTCACTATCAACACTACCTACAGATAGGGGCTTGCAAACCCGGGGTTCACATCAACCGACATGGACTCCTGGAACTGTTCGTTTCACCCGGGTTTCTCGTCGACGAGGTTTAATCTACAGGACTTGCCGGTGGTGGAGAAGCTCTTCGAAGATGAGAAGTTCCAACACTTTGCGAAGAGCGTCTGCCCCAAAGAGAAGCAAGTTTTGGACCGCCCAAGCACTTTGGGAAAGAGGCTTCCTGGGAGCCCAAGTAATGAGTGCCATACACAGCATACCAATACGGCGTCCCTATGTTATCCTATGTCGGCTTTTCTGAGTCCAGCTTAGATATATATATAGTTTAAATCCCATACCTCCTACCTCCATTGGTCCATTGGTGAAGAACGAGTCCAGTTTCGGGCGAACGTGTTTGCGCTCTGAAGCACCACTGGGCTCCATTCGTGATCAGCCATGGCATGAGGACACGGAGCTGGCCGTAGGCTCTTCCAAGCACCAGGGCACCAAGGGCTCAACTCGGTCTCTCAGAGCCCATCACAGCAGGTGGCTCCAACCATTTCATGCGAGGATCACTCCGTCCGCCACTGTTTAGTCTTTTTGTTTTCACTTGTGATGACATTCCGTCAAGCCACGTGATATCTGCTCCAAGTTTCCTCTGCTTGACACTTTCATGCTGCGGCCAATTGGGGGCATCCCACCTGCGGGGCGGGACCCGCGCATCCCTCCGGCGACCCGCACGCGACCCGGGCGCGACCCGGTCGGCACGCAGGACCCCTTCCAGTTCAACTTCATCCTCTCGGTCCCGGGCCAAACCGTGGCGCTTCATCTGGATGCACCTTACTTCCTTGGTGCCACGCGCTTTCAGGTGCCTCAGTGGTTGTCACTTGGCCGCCTTTCTTTGTGGAACTCAACAGGGGTCTTTTGGTGGAAGGTGGTTGCATAAGGTGGTTAAGGTGATCCGGTTATATAAGGTGGTTAAGGTGATCCCTTGGGATTTGTTGGTTGTGGTGTGACATTGTCCTGCTCCCAAAAATGCCCACCTGGAGGAGCTCTCAAAGAATTGGCTTTTTTCTTACTGGATTCAGTAGGTTTTGTTCTCACTTCAATAGGGTGTGACTGACATCCTTCAACCCGCCTAAACCCTAAACCCGCCGAAATCGTGTGGGTCTCGCCAAGGCGACGGGCTTTCACACGAACCGCGGTGGAACTCGTTGATCTTCACGTCGCTCCGCGGATTCGGAACCTGCGTCGCATTCCGTTCGATGGGTCTTCACCGGGCAGGTTGGCGGTGATGGTCTTCAGCGGGCTCTTCCAAGAGCGCTTTGTGGATCAGGTCCAGGTGGTGGGATACTTACACGATCAGATGGCTGTGGAAGATCAAAGCGCTGGAGGCGGAACGAAGTGGGACATCGGAAAGTCGGCGTATCATAGAGGTCAGTCTTAGAGGAATCACCAAAAGACCGGATTCTTTTCCGGAGCTGGTCATTGTCATTGCAACTTGGTTCTTCATCCAAGTTCCTTACGACCTCAGTCACACACTCATTACAAGTGACATCAGGTGACATCATCCAGAGTTTGCCATTCCGACCCGTCTGGGGATCTTTCTCAATGAACAACCACTTCAACGGGGGGGGGCCGCCCGGGTTGGCCACATGTTCTGCGTGGAAACCCCACCCGAGCACCTTCTCCCCCCTGACATTCTGGTCCTTGACAGCTCCCTTCACAGCCCCCCCCCGTCGCCGTCTTCCGCGCTGGGTTCACACCGCCGTGTGAAAACCGCCCCCCGGTCGTGCACGGAACGGGACGGGAGCCCGGACGCTTTGGAGGCTTGTTCCTCTACTACGACGAGAACTCCGCGACTCCCAAGAGCTTCCCCTCCAGTCCGCTCTCGGGGATCTCGGTGGCGCGGAGGGAATGAAAGTGGGGGCGCGGTGGCGGGAATTTCGCGCGTTCGTTTTTTATTTTTATTGTATTTTTCGCCCGGGGTTCATATAGGATGTTTCATATGGGATGCGGGGTGCGGTAAGCGACCATGTGCTTTGTCGTGGAACTATAGGACGACCCATGCAAGGAGAGCTGTCGTGGATCGATCGAAATGACCTTCAATAGATGTTTGAAAGGACTTTTGCAGGACCTTCCAAGCGACCCCCTATGAACTTCCATTAGCTTGAGCGCCTCTTGGGTGGTCTCTTTTGGCCACCCCAAAAAGGATGTCAAAAGCAAGAGACGTCGTGTCCACGAGCCCGGACATGGACCATCGACAGCGACAAAACCGCTTCGGTCGCGGTCTGGCCGCGACGGGAAAGAGGTGGATGGGAGCAAGACGCTCCATGCAGCTGGGGTCTTCAAGCCAGAGGTCAAGACGCCCTTCCTGGACAAGGCGCATGAATTCATGATCTCCTCCATGCGTCGAGACTTCATGCGCCGGCATGAGGGGCAGAGGGGAGGTGGTTAGATCCCAACCTGTGAGGCAGAGGGTTGAGAACTGTTTTTTCAAGCAGGGAAGTATCGCCTCCAGGGCTGCGCAAAGCGTGCGGCCGTCTCTTTTCAGGACAAAGACAATGCCTTGTTCTATGTGGGCGATGAGCTTTGGGAGCTGCGCAGTGAGGGTCAGGCCGCGCTCTCGACGTAGTGGAAGTCGCGGGGCTTCTTACACTCCTGGAAACTCGACGACCCCTGGCACCCTCAAAGATCCGTTTTTCCTCTACAAACCGACGTGCATGGTCCTTATATAGTAGGGTCCATGTCAAGTTTTCCAGAGGGGTAACCTGTTTCTGATCAAAGAGTTTGGCTGATCTCTCGACTTGGACCCTTTTCATGGTGTTTTGGTGTTCTTTGGATGACTCACTCACCGGAGGTTTTTGGTTCCGCCTCCTCACTCGCTCCAGAAGACAATCCCAGAGACTCCACGCATGGCATATTTACCTACATTGGGGTGGTGTGAGGGGTCAATGTAGGCATATATGACTCACATGGAGTGCCTGGGACAGTCTGGGAATATGATCCTGTTCGTTCTCGGATATCCGGATATCCTCCACGGTGTTTTTTCTTTTCCAGGTGCTCCAGAGCTACAACTCTTCAGAGCTGCGGATGACCATCGTCTACAGGCCAATTGAGCCTTTAATCATCGTGCCGTGCCGAAGTCGCCCTATGGCGCCGGGGCGTGGCTTGGGGTGTTTTCGGGCGCCGGGGTGTGAAGTGGGAGGGAGGGGTGAGTTGCAAAACACCTCCTGATCCATGGTGTTTCCATTCAAAGTTCATGACATTTCAAGTTTCGTCAAGATGGATAGGAGCTGCGCCGGCGCAGGACAGGGGCGACAGGGGCGACGGGGGCTTGGAGTGGAGTCCGAGCCCATCGCTGGGTCCGAGCCGTTGGAGCTTTCCGTTTCTTCCAGGGTTGCGTGACGCTACGGTGTTCGGTTTTCCGGGGTTCGGGGTTCAGTGCCGTGTTTCTTTCCCTAGAGGTCCAGTCTGACCCAGGTCCAAACCTAATCCTTTACCTTATTGAGTGGCGTTCTTGAATGACACGATCCCATAACTAACATGAGGTCAAACTGACCTGTAGGGTTTGGAGGAACCACATTTTTTCCAGGAAGCTTTTGGTCTACTGATGTCAACTTGACAACCTCCAGCAAGCTTGAAAGTCCAAAGAAAAGCCAGACTCCTATTCGAACTCCTGTTCTGGAACTTCTGTTGAAGTCAAAACACTGCTTTGTTCGAACCCCAAACTGGAACTCCTCTTCGAACCCTCTCCAGGGCACGCTGCTTCACCTCAGAGGAGGACAGTTCGCAGCATCCTTTCGCCGCGGTGTCGAACCGTGCCGAAGGCACGGCCAGGCAGTTTTTTGCTTGGTTTTTGGTCAGGGCCCTGCAGCTGGTTTGCGAGTTTGGGGGATGCATAAAAGGCAGAATATTGTGGGGATTGCCGAGGAAGAAGACCAATGCATCAGCTTTGGGAGATTCGCGGATTTCTAAGGGCATGCTTGAATATGCTGGATGCCTGTATCCAAGTGTGCGCACATATTTCCAAGGATTTTGACTGGACGTGTGTTGACCCTGGCGAAGGAGAGACAAAGATATCTAAAGCAAGCTCCAGAAGATTTGCTGAGCTCCTTTGGCTGCAGCCAGTCATATCCTGTGAAGCAGTCAACTCTTGCAGTCTGACGACCTACCTACCGTTGATGACCTACCGTTGGGTGGGTCCCACCGTTGGGTCCGACAGATTGGACTGCCATGGCGACGGGTTGGCAAACCCGAGCCATGGCACGCGACGGGGAGAGTGGGTGATTTGTTGGCAAAAAGTGGTTCTCCTAATCTTTTTTAACAAACTTGGTGGTTTGGACATAGGCAATAGGACCTGTGGGAGAAGGTAGATCAAAGACGTTTTTTTTCTTTTGTGTTCCATCCTGAAGTTGACTCTTGTTGGGGTGGCCCACAGGCCTAGACGAGATTTTGGAGAAGCTGAAGGAGGACTTGGTCAAGCGGAGGAGGTTATCAAGGCGTGTGGATGACACAAACCTACACATACCGCAAGTGACAGAAGACTCTAGACATATACCCTCACAAACTTGTAAGGTTGCCTGTCCCACATCAATGAATGTCAGGGTGCTGGCGTCGTGAAACCTATGAGATGAACCTCAACTTGACAAGCTTTGGCTGTTGATGTGCGTTTATGTTCAAAAGAAGTTTGATCACTTCTCGGTCGTGATCCAACCAAGTGGGGCGCCTTTGGGGTCGGTTCTGTCTTCCTGAAGCGGGGCTTGAGCGGTTACCCAACTGTTTCAGAGAAAGCCTTTCGGGTGTGAAAGCACCTGGGTTGCGGACCCACGGCCTCCTTTCTCGAAGGCCTCTTGCGTGGTACACGGGGGTGCTACATGGCAAGTCTGGTGGTTGGTAGACAAATCCTGAAGGAAGGGTGCGTTCTATCATTGGTTGGATCGGGTTGGATGGCTTCCATCCTCGACTTCGGGGGGGTTCCTGACTTCAGTTGGATCGGGGTCGACTCAGGGATCAGGCCGCATCCATGGACCGCCTCGACTTGGCGGTGATGCTGCTGGACACTTACATCAAGTCACTGGGCGGTGAAGACCTCCTTGGCACGGCGAAAACGACCCGGTACGGCAACCCCCGCCTTCGAGCGGGCTGGGCAGGATGGGGGTTCGGAGACATGACCGGAGCAAGTGGCCTAAGATTCCTCAGGTGGCAATACCTAGTATAGCGAGAAGCTACAAGTAACAAGGGCAGAGATGTGGGCTCAACAGAGTGAACATAGAAAGCTGCAGCAAGCATCTCTGTCTAAACTATCCCTATACCTGTGACTGAAACTATGTATGGATATTCTATGATATTCTCGTGACTAGGTCAAAACGAAACCAAAGAGCATTGCGGGGTCCTTTCTGCGGTTTAGAGTGTTTTGAAGAAAGAGGTGCCATTATTGACTTTTAACCTCTGCAAGCTGTCCAGGACAAAGAGCACTTAGAACGGACCGAAAGCGGCTTTGGACATCTTCGTTCCCCCGAAGATCCACCCTGCAGTTCCCCTGAAGATCCACCGAACACCGTGCCGCAATGTCTTCAAAGTCCTTTGGTGTTCCTGTGCACCACTCCAAGGTATCCACTTCCCGACTTGCAACATGCCAAAGTTCCTCTGAACTATTGCGCTCTTCCGCGTCGAGCTGGCCAATTTCGCCACCTGCTCACTCGACTCTTGAGCCCCTTCTGCGGGTGAATCACCCATCACCCGAGCGCCGATCGAGTGGGGATCACCGCCGTTTGGGCTGTGCCGTACCGGTCGGAGAAGGGTCGAAGAAGAGGCGGAGAAACAGGGTGACCGAGAAACAGTGGCACCGGAGGGAACGAACGAGCTGCTTCGGTCAAATCTGAACAGATTGAGTGACCGAGCTGATCGGTGATGCCTAGATGGACATTTCTCTAGAGCCTAGATGTGATATGGGGATAAAGATGAGGTGGGGCTTCAGACTCCATTTTCCTAGGTCACGTTCCTTCAACTCAGTGAAGGATTCTGACATCTGGATTCCTGGGTACCTTCACCCCATGGTCTACCAGGCTCCCGATGTTTGGTATGTGTATGGTTTCTTACTTGGTGCCAGTGCTGCTCCCAGCTCTTTTTGGTACAAGTCCCCAGAGCAAAACTCTTTAATATAAAGAACCATTTTCCAATACCCCAAACCCTGACATCTCTGTCTCTGGCTTGATGACATACAGGAATTCCTCCCGCCCCATCTCTTCTTTCGCGACCCACGACATCGGCAGATCCTGCCAAGCCACCACCGGGGTTGCTGAGCTTTCAGCAATGGTGCCTGGGCTGCAGAGGGGACTCCACACCTCCACCTGGGATGCGCCAAACTGAAAAAAGAGGGACGAACATCCACAGGATGAGTCCGTCCATCTGGCAAATTCCCATCTTGGAATGTCGAGAGATATATTTATATATATATATATACCATTATATGCCCTTTGTGTAAGCAGGCTTTAAGTGACGAATCAAGAGGCTTTTGCCAATGGTTTCATGAAGCTACACAGTGGTTCTCACAAAGGTGCTTTTTGATGTGCTTCATGTGTGCAATCAGTTCTTTTTGCCGGCATGTCCTTCACATATTCATGAAACAAATGCTGCGCTTGGGGTCGGAAACCCCCTTGCACCGTGCCCGACCAGGCTGCAAGGCCCTGCAGGCCATGCTGTTCTCGCCAGATACCGCGCGAGCCCGGGTGCCCTACTAGGGCGCGACTCTGTGCAAAACTGGAAGTGAAGGTGTCTGGCTCGGATGGGTGTTTTCGACTTTGCTTCTCCTGCCTCCACACTGAAACACTTGTGCTGTCGCTTTGAGGACCTTCGTGTTGTCGTGGGTGCTGTCGTGCGTTTTCAGGTTAGACCGCCGAGCTCCAGCGAGGCCGGCACGCCAACGGGCGGGACGCCATACATGGGGGTATATATTACCCCCCAACCACAGGGTCTTAGTCTATTTCTATTTTGTTGGCCGGAGCAGGAGAAGAGTTGGTTGAGGTTTGTACTCTCCTTCTCCCAGAGACATCCCCACATGAGGTGCCAAGGTGGACATTCACAGGCCACAGTCTGAGGGTAAAAAGTGGTGAGGGTTTCCACAGGGCTCTGACATGGACAGGAGGACAGAACGATCCACTTTCAGTGAAGCTGAAAACGGCTGGCCAGCAAGAGTTCTGCGTGTTTCACCCCTGGGGCACGGTCTGAAGATCAGGCACCGTCCAGGGATTTTTGAAGGTCGAAGGTAGTCTTCACCAGGGGCTCCTTGACCTTCGCGACGGCTTTAGTCTTCGCGCCCAAGTCACGAAATGGGATGGCATCGTCCCGGAGCTTTCGGACACATGTCCGACCAGCTTCCGTATTCTGGCCGACAACCCTTTCTTGCGGTGCCGTGTTTGAGGCAGACTGCGATGTCTTTGATTTCACCATGGGGATGATTAGCTTTTTGATCTTTTTGTGTTGCGAGGGCTCGGCGTCAATCATGCACCACAGATTCGCAGGCTCTTGAGCTGGATCGTGCCAAGACTTTTTTTGTTTGTTTGGACTGGCTGCTGCAGTCTGGCCGGCTGTGTTGCTTGGTTCGCAAAACATGGCTCTAGCTTCTTAGGGCCGAATTCAGATGCCAGACTAACAAAGAGAGTGATCTCCTCTAATGTCTTAACAGCTTAACGGAGCTGTTGGAGCAACGGTTTGCTGACACCCATTCGTCATTCTGTAATTTGTTCTGGAAAACAGCAGGCAGGAAACCAGCTTTGTCTCAGCTTCCCCGCTTTTTCTTGCCCGATCGCGCTCGTCACGGATTCTCAATAGCTACCAGTTAAAGCAAATCACACATGGGAAGCCGCTCACAGGGGAAGCCCATTTCTGGAGATCAGGAAACAATTTCTTGAGAGAGTGTTTTTCGCCATGCCGATCGACTATTCAAAGTTTGAGCATATCGGAGACTCTGATGAAGAGCCTGGCGCTGAGGGAGTTCGCAAACCTCGGATGTGGAACGCTCCAGATCAGTCCCTTCTCCATGTTCTTTGGTTTGATTTGTATGTGGCAAAAGTGCAGGTGGTAAGAGGGAGAAGAGACAGGCATGTGAGCAAAGTGCCAAAGGTCGGCACTCACGTTTCTACAAAAATGAGCAATTTGCACGTTCCTTAAAAACACGATACCAATCCCAAAAACTATACCTAGCCTTGTGACGGTACACATCTTGGAATCTATCTTTGCCTATTGACACTGTTGACACTCGAGACATTGTATGTCCAAGGTTTTTTTGCATATGGTTTGCCATGCTAGTTGGACATTCCATTTTGTTTTTGCTCATTTTCCCTTCTCTTTCTTTGATGGGAAACAATTATGGGTTTAGACGGATACCAAAAACGATACCAAACGATACCCACTTCATAGGTTTGTATCCCCTCAGAAACCACCTGCCAGCTCACATGCCACTACTACTGCCACTACTTCTGCTTCTGCTACTACTTCTAGCACCACCGCCACCACCACCACCACCGCTGCTACTACTACTACTATGACGACGACGACTACTACTACTACTACTACTACTACTACTTTACGACGACGACGACGACGACGACGACGACTACTACTACTACTACTACTACTACTACGACTACGACTACTACTACCACTACCACTACGACTTAGTACTAGTACTATAGTACTAGTACTAGTACTGGTACTAGTTAGTACGAGGACGATGACTACTATCATCATTTGGAAGATCACCTTCCAGAGCAACTTACATTTAGACGATACCCCCCTCAAAAATTGGATATGGATTGAACAAAAAGATAGCAATCCCAAAAACGATACCTGCCTTAAAACTTCCCACCAGACGACCCCTAGTTTTGCCGGTCGCTCATGTGAGAAGAGTCTTCGCTTGAGGCAAAGGTGTTAAAAACGGACCTTCTGAAGAGGTGTAGAACATTCTAGAAATAGCCAGAACAGTGATTCCATGTGATTCTTTTGGAATTCCTTCCATCATCTTCCTTTGGCGTCGACAGGAAGGCGCCCACTGGTCCATCGTCGTCGCCTCCCGAAGCCAAAGTTGGGAGGCGTCCGAGTTGGGAAAGCAAAATGCCAACTCTTCGAAACCAAAGTGGTTAAGGCTTCACACCAAGTCCAGTTCCAGAGACGAGAGTGGTGACATGACAATGAACTCTTTTTGCAAACACCTGCTCATCTCCAGCCTCTCAAACTGGCTGTTCACTTCTACAACATCCAATGACCGACCAGGAATGGCCGTGAGCTGCTCGAAGCCGGAGGCGGGCCCGCAAAAACTCCTTTTCTTGCGAGCGATCTGCCGTCGCTTTACTCGCCCCGTCTTCGCGACCTGGGAGAGTCTTGATCGAGTCCTTTTTTCGAGCGCCTCGAACAACAGAAAGAGCACCATACTGAGCTGAGGATTACAATCTTTTTCACCGATTGCCACAGGAAACCAGGCTTAGACGTATGTCATTTTGAAGAGGCCTCTCCTTTTTTTCGTCACCTTCATGAGAACGTCCTTCATGAGACTTGGCTGTTTGGTGATTTGGTGCTTCCTAAGGCCTTGAAGAACGCTTCACCATGGTGCCCAGCTCCGGAGGTCTTGGGATGCCCAGCTCCCGAGGACGGTGCCGACACATCACGACGACACGCGACGACCGGTGTGTCACCGGCGTTTCATGTCTTCAGACGTCCAACACACGTGCGCGCGCACACACGGAGGTGTGCCGTCCGCTGAAGCATTCACCGCACAACTAGCACAAACATATATTTGATTATATTTGTGTCTTTTCTTCTTGGAGTCGTGGCATGTGGTGGGGACTTCTCAAAGTGATTATGCTCCAGCGTGGAACCGATATTTTTACAATTAAACCGGCAATTCTTGTTGCGTCGCATCTCGACGCTTGCCAGCTGGATTGTCTAACACCATGACCATCCTGTCTGCGTGTCCAATGGAGATCCATATTTGAGTAGTGACTAGTGTAGGGTGGGTCGTCCATTGGGCACCCAAACAGGATGGTCCTGGTGAATGGTTCTGAAAGGCCAATGGCAATGGTGACCAGCGCAGATCTTGAGGCCCCACACCACAGCCATAAAATCACTAGCACGAGCTGGAGTGCAAAATTCATGACCGTGACAAGTAGTCGGCAAGTGGTTGTGGCACTGTGGGATCTTAACATAAATGCTTTGTGCTAACAAGAAAAACACATCATAATAGCACACAGACACAAACTCAAAAAAAGCGTTCGATAGGGAAACATTATCCGCACTTGCCCACCTGCTGATGACCTTTAGCCAAGCAATACCTTTGAATCGACCGTGGCTCGGTCGATCGTCGCTGTGCAGGAACCAATGGCAAAGGCGGTTATCCTGGCGATTCGCCCAAGCCCTCAGAGACGAAGCGTGACGGTGTGACCGACGGCCAGGTGGGGAGTCGTATGTTTTTCCAGATCGACCAGAAAGGAAAGCCCTACAGGCCCTACAGGGTGGGAGTGGATGGAAGAAAGTTTGTTAAATCATTCTTCGACGCGGACTCGTCATGGTTCCGGCTGGGTGGCGGAGTGAACAGACATGGCGGACTGAAATGATGCTATCCAGGAGGGTGTTTTTTGCAGGAGAGGTCTCTATTTGCTCCAGGAAGGCTGGTGTTTTCATGTGTTTTCTTAATCCATCAGATTCGTTTGTAAACCATTCCACCCGGGAGGTGC